CAGAGAAAAGGTAAGGGTCTCACGATTGAGACTCATGACTGGATTGATGAGCCGACCTCTTCTTATAGTGATGAGGATATGGCACTTATGTGTCTTATGGCTAAAATACGGGAGATAGAAGACTCTGACGAGGATCCATCTCTACTGCTGCTGATGTACCTTCTACCTCCAAGAAAGCCAAAGATCAGGTCAAACCTAAGAAGGTAAACAACTTCTCTTTTCTTTCTAAATCTGAAAATATTAAAGCTTTTGATTCTTTATATGTTGATCTATATGATGCTAGATCTGCTAAAAAGAAAACCGAACTTCAGCTTAAAAGTCTAATTAGTGAGTTACAGGAATGCATGAATCAACTGAAAGACTTTGATAAGTTGAAAAATGACTTGAAAGAACAAAAATTAATTAACAATTATATTAACAAAGAAAGAACCAAGGTCTAACAGAAGCTTGAGAAAGAAAAAGTCATTCTTCATAAACGGGCTAGATCATCCAAAAACTTAGATAAAATCTTACATGATCAAATTCTAAGTGTTTGTGTCATCATCAAATAGGGGGAGATTGCTGGGTTACCAATTGATTTGGTGATGACCCACTGATATGTTCCTCTATCATATCAACACTTAGTAGTTATTGGTTTTTTTGTATATTAGTTTCTTGATACATACTTAAAGCCATTGGCAAAATCGAAGACTAGCCGATGTGAAGAGAGAAGGTCATTGATGTGGTACTGTGGATCAACTGTCTAAATTACACACTAAGACTCCAGAGTAGTTGATTTGAAGATCGAAGATATTTTGAAGCTACTAGTCGATTGAAGGAAGATCTTCATGCACCGAAGATTTGTAAGTAGCTCTATGAAGCTACTAATCCATCCAAAGAAGATCTCTCTACAGACTGACCATATCTCTGCAAAAGTTTTTTTGCATGAATAGTGTTGTATGTACACGATGTATGATAAAAATGAGATATCAACAATGGTCAAGTCAACTCCTGCATTCTTATCCTCAGTGACAAGTGTCCCCATGCATTTAATGTTGAAGGTAGTATAAAAGGCAATAGCATCTCCCATCCAAATATACTTCCTGGGAAAGAATTACTAACTGTATTCTCAAAGGCAATCGGCTCTCTTCTTCTATTCGTTTAGTCTCCTGTATGTGAAGAAAACCTTTGTGTTCTTCATTTCCTTGCAAGTACCTTCTGTGTTGTTCTTGTAAGTTTTTCTTCTTATAAGATTGTTTATGTTAGGTTATCCTTTCCTTCTTCCTCAACAAATATATTGTATCTTTGTGTGTTTTAATTCTTGATATACATCAATAAGAATTAAAAAGTTGAAAAAATTTGTGTAATTGTATTCAACCCCCCCCTCCCCACACAATTACTTAATGTCTATTGTTATCCCATTCTGTCTATTGAAGAAGGTAATGGTTATGGTTTCACCAGTGAAGATGGTGCTGGTGTTGGCATGGTGAGGAGGCGATAGATTAGGCCGAGAGTTTGGGGAGGCTTGCGTTATATAAATATGTATATAGGGGCCTATTCAAAGGAGAATTGATTAGTTTGTGATAACTGTGAGATCCAATCTCAACCATAAATCAACCGTTAAATTAGGAAATTAATAATTATGGTAGTTTGAGTTAAAATTATAATTAGAGAGCATTTTAGGTATTTAAAAAAACTCCTCTCTTCTCTCTCATCTCTCATCTATCCGACATCCAATCTCCGTCCTCCGGTGAACAAAAATCCGACATGTATCAAGTAATCACAAAGATACATAATATGATATCCATTGTGATATACTGTGATACCTATTGTGATAGAATTGGGGTACCACTATGTACCCAACACATATGGCAAAGACATCTGCAGGTAGCTCTCTCTCATCCTTGATGGGTTGGCCACCTAAGCTTACCTGACCTGCTGTTGTCATGATTGCCTCAAGTTTATGACTTTTCAACTAACAACAATGCTTCTGAATCCTTTAATGGAGGGTTTGGGTGTTGTACTGGTGTTGAAGCTGTTGTTTTTTATGTAAGCTTGGAGGACGGCTCTTTCACGATGAAGGAGAAGAGTAGGGTTTTATGATTATAAACATTCCCAATTTACCCTTTATGTTATTTTTTAGGATATAACATTAATTATTTAAATGATTGGCTCATATTGAATCTTACAGTTACCACAAACTAATCAGTTCTCATTTGATTAGGCCCCTATGTATATATATATATATATATATATATAGAGAGAGAGAGAGAGAGAGAGAGAGTTTGTTTCAAATACAACCTATCGCATTTGTACAACCAATGCAACCCAATAAATTGATACATTTATGGAAATGATGAGAGTTCATTTATTATGATTTGAATATTTATGAAAGATGAATATGGTTCATTAATTTGGATCAATACTTTATATTAGAAAACAATCAAAACTTCTATGAAATCGCATACAAATCAAATGAAATGGACGATTGAGATTGGGTTGCACAAATGTCAAGGGTTGTATAATAACCAACCTCTCTTTCTCTCTCTCTCTATATATATATATATATATATATAAAGAGAGAGATAGAGAGAGAGTGCTTGGTTCAAATGTTAACCAAGTTTATTGTGTTAATATTTTCAACCAATGACAATCCATCTTATATATAGGTTCATATTCATCTTATAATTTGATGACAAGAGTAAATATGTGATTTTCTTTTTTATGTAACTCCCATATCATTAATTGGTAGTTACAAAATCAAAAAATCTCATGATTTTTGTTAATTTATTATTGATTTTTTTTATAATATTGATTTTTCTATCTATAATGTTTTTGAATTTGTGATTGGTAGAGGAGACCTGATAGTAAAGTTTCTGGTATTATTCAAGCTATTATGGATGAACCCATTGTTCATAATGAAGGAACTATTGTTCACATGCTGTTCATATTGTGTTCATATGTACACTAGCTGCATATCTCAACATTGGCTCGCTCCTAAATGTGTTTACAATGAAGAAACTATTGTTCACAGGTGTTCATATTGTATTCATATGTACATTAGCTGTATATTTCAACATTGACTTGTTCCTGAATATGTTCATAATAAAGGAACTATTATTTACAAACTGTTCATACCTGTTTTATTTATTTATTTCCTTTCGTAGCAAGTATTCTTATTATGTTCATAAATGTTATGTAGTCCAAGTTCATATATATGTCAATTTTTGTTCGTATTTGACACAATGTTTCATATATATATATATATATATATATATATATATATAGGGGCCTATTCAAGGGTGAACTGATTAGTTTGTGGTAACTGTGAGATCCAATCTCAACCACAAATCAACGAATAAATCAAGAAATTAATAATTATGGTAGTTTGAGTTAAAATTATAATTAGAGGACATTTTAGGTATTTTTAAAAAAATTCTCTCTTCTCTCGCATCTCTCCGACCTCCAATCTCCGGAATCCGGTGTACATTAATTCGGCAGGTACCAAGTAATCGCAAAGATACACAATGTGATACCCATTGTGATATATTGTGATACCATTGTGATACAAACTATGATACCAACTCGAACCTTAAAAAACAAAGATACACAATGTGATACCCATTGTAATACACAATGTGATACCCATTGTGATATACTGTAATACCGATTTCACCGGAGGCCGGAGATTGGAGGTCGGAGAGATGAGAGAGGAGAGAGAAGTTTTTTTAAAAATACCTAATATACCCTTTAATTATAATTTTAACTCAAACTACCATAATTATTAATTTCATAATTTATCCGTTGATTTGTGGTTGAAATTGGACCTCACAGTTACCACAAACTAATCAGTTTTCATTTGATTAGGCCCCTATATATATATATATATATATATATATATATATATATATATATATATATATATGTTCATATGGTTCTTACATTAACAAAAATAAATTAAAAAAAAATCATGGGATTTTTTTGATTTTGTAACTCCCAATTAATAATATGGGAGTTACATAAAAAAATTACATAAATATCTTTTTCCACTTAGTTCATATATGTTTGTGAAATAGTAAATTTAAAAAATTAAATTTTTAATATGATAAATCACAACGGTTTATTATAAAAATCAATGGCCAAGATTGATTAACAAAAGTTAACACAATAAACTTGATTAACATTTAAACTAGCCATATATATATATATATATATATATAAAATATAGATATAATATAATATTAAATATTAAAAAGATCACATCAAAAGAGAAAAAAAATTAATAGAAGAATAAAGAAACTGCTAAAAAGACTGAAATACCCTTCTGATTTAACTCACTTAACAAAACTTTTGGATAAAGTTAGATTGAGGGGTCATTTACTTAAATGCTTACCGGGTAAGCGTTTACCGTTAGGAGTCAATACTATAATTTATTTTATTGGAAAAGATTATAGTACATCAAAATGGTATCGTATTATTTGTAATAATTTACCTGATAAACACTTATTCGGGTAAGAGTCGTCACCTTCATTTAGCGAGTAAGACCATTCATCTTTATCATTATTCTTACAAGGTAAGATTTTTAACCCTTGTCATATTCATTCGGTAAGAAAAATTACCAGATAAGCACTTTTTGAATAAACATTTAGTAAACGTCCCCTTAGAAACACAATATGTTATAAAATGTAATCTACAAATATATAATCCATGAATATCTAAGATACATAAACTACAAGAACCAAATTTGTAATTCACTCTCAATTATATTAATATTAATATTAATATATTATGTAATACATTCGTTAGTTCAACAAATTTCTAGCATTGCATTGTTGTTTCTCTTTTCTAATTTTACAGATTTAATTGGGAAAAAAATGCTGAATTGAGTAAAAGAAATATAGTAGGACTGGTCCTAAACCAAATCAAGAAAAGTGGAAGAAACGAGGAAAGCAAGACGCCATTAACAACAGTACGACGCTTGTGTCTTTGATCTTAACACCCATCAATGTTGGATTCTCAACACCTCTTATAACTTCACCTTCTCTTCTCTCTCTCTTCGATACGATCATCAAAACTCTTTCCTTTTCCATTTTCGATCTCTTTCGTTTCTGGGTTTTTCAAATCTTTATAAACCCTAACATGTCTCGTCTACTCTTCTGGGCAGATTTGATTTGATGATCTAATCCACTTCATTATCAAACCCTAATTTCTGCCCTTCTAAATCAGTCACCGATCGTACCAACTCTCGCTTTAGTTTTCGCGATCTTCTAGTTCGATTGTATCACTACATTGTAGATTGAGATTGGATTGTATCATACTTTATATACCCAATTTATCAGCTTCCATTTAACTCGATTATCTCATTCCGAATGAATCACATGTGTTTTGGATTTGAATCGAGCATATTTTAGATTCTGATTTCTGTTTATTTAATGAATAATAAGATGAGAGCCAGAGGGGAACGAGATGAATTTGTTTTCAAAGATTCATCGCTTGGATTGTTGAGGCTTCTTTGCTTTTTGATTCTTTTCGTTACTGGTATCATAATTGGTCTGACTTCAAGTTCACATGTAGATAGATATTTCACTTCACAACCTGATAACTTTTATATGAATTATGCATCTGCTGCTCCTGCTCCAAGCTATGGCAGCAGTTCTTCAAAAACTGCTACTTTTGATCACGACTGTAGTACCAATTTGATTAGTTGCAAGAAAGATGATTGCTTGAATATGGAAAGTTTTCGAATGCCGAAGAATCTGAGCCATCAGATGACTGATAACGAGCTCTTTTGGAGGGCTTCGATGGTTCCTAATAAACCCGAGTACCCATTTGACAGAGTTCCTAAAGTTGCTTTTATGTTCTTGACAAGAGGGCCTCTTCCTTTGATGATGTTGTGGGAGAGGTTTTTTCGAGGTCAAGATGAGAACAAATATTCGATATATGTGCATACGAATCCAGGGGTTCATCTGAATGTCACGAATTCTTCGGTTTTCTACAATCGGCAGATTCCTAGCCAGGTATGAATCTGTTCCTATTTGGGTGATGGTTTATGATTGATTATGGTTATCGGCTTATGATCAATCCATTGTTTGTATGTGTCGTTGCATATAATGTTAGTTCTGAATGTTTTGGAGAAGAAATCGATGATTCTTGTAGTATTTTAGGTTGTGTAGCATGTCGGGTTTTCATAGAAACAACCGCTGATAGGGGGTGCTGCCCATAAAACCCTGCAAGAGAGTGCAGCCCCCTTGACCCCCCATCATATTGCGACATTTGGCAATCTTGGGTTCTAGCTAGCTTATATGAGTGTATTCCGCACCTCCTAACTCACATTTTAGCTTAATAACACTCGATTCATCCCCGTGTGAATCCAATTACACAAAATGGCATAATAATTCACTAAAATCACCAACACGGCTGAATCTCCAGTCACCGTGAACATGAGTTATATGGGATGGGTCTCGTGGTCATTTTAGACCATGCCATTATTCACACCTATGTAGCGGTAGCGGTCATGGGACAAATAGAGGTGGTCAAATAGCTGTCAGAAATAGTGGTCCAGTGATTAACGGTGCTACTTTTAGACCGCTATACCATCGCGAGTCCTGACCGTGATTAGCCGCTGTAACAGCATAGGTTTTAGATGACCAAACCAACCCAGTAAATCCCACAGAAAGGTAGGTCTAGGGGTAGGATTTATGACGACCCCTGGCTGCTTTCGTGTAGACATCCAACCTGCAAAACAACAATTAAAGTTAGAAACAAGCGATCAGGTTACAGGTGAGAGTGTGTGCAGACTTACGAGTATGGTTAACAGAAAATACATTAGACAGATGTGAGGAAAATAGGTTTAACGAACGAGGAAACATATAGCTGGATTTGACCTCCCGTTCGTTAGAGGACTAACCTTATAATTGCTTCAATTTGACGGATTGAATGATACTTTTGTTTGCGCTTTCTTTAATGGACTGAAAATTCATGTTTTTTCAGCATTTCTTCCTTCTTAACGCATCCGTTTCTTTTCAGGATGTGAAATGGGGATCTGTCAAACTCGTTGACGCTGAAAAGCGACTTTTAGGTAACGCCTTGCTCGATTTTTCTAACGAGCGGTTTGTTCTCCTATCAGAGAGTTGCATCCCTGTTTACAACTTCCCAACCATCTATAAATATCTCATCGGTTCAACCTACAGCTTCCTTGACTCATATGACGACCCATCCCGTTACGGCCGGGGCCGCTACAGCCGTCGGATGAAACCCGAGATCAAACTTCGAGATTGGCGAAAAGGGTCTCAATGGTTTGAAATTCACCGCACCCTGGCTGTCAAAATAGTCTCTGATACAAAGTACTATAATCTCTTCAAATCCTACTGCTTGCCGTCTTGCTACCCAGACGAGCATTACTTGCCAACGTTCGTAAACATGTTTCACGGCTCTCTTAACGCTAATCGGACGGTAACTTATGTGAATTGGTCGTTGGGAGGTCCTCATCCGGCAAGTTTTGGGGCCGATGATGTCACAGAAAAATTGATTTATTTGATTAGGAATAATGGGACGAGTTGTTACTACAATAACAGGAAAACTTCCGTTTGCTTTTTGTTTGCACGGAAGTTTTCGGAGAGCGCATTGGCCCCATTACTTGGTCTCGCATCGACGGTACTCGGATTTTGAAAATATTTGTGTTGTTTTATTGGTTTTGGATGGGAAGTTTTGTGGAGTGTATTCCCCCAATTTGTTGTAGTTTTGGGTTATTGTTGTTTAGAATAGTTGTAGTTTTGGAATTGTTGGATGAAGTAGAATTTAGTCACAAATTGTGGTATGGATTCATATTCAATAAACCATTCTTATTTTATTAAACGATAGATAAGCAAGTATCAATGTTAGTCGGGGATAATTTATCTACGATCTCGACTATCGATGGTCGTATGCCGGAGATATCATCGTCGTCAAGTGATATTGACGATCGTTCCATGCAGTAGGTCTTGTCGAGGATATTTCCCTCGTCAGTCAAGGTTACAAATTTTTACTCAAACAATTTCCCCTGAAGATTTGAATATCAAAATTCTTTTTTGAATTTCAAATTTTGTGCCAAAGGTTTTTTCACACGTATCCGCTTTTGGTAACTAGATCGGTTGAGAAGAAACTGGATCGATCTCTTAGAAATCTGAATCGTCGATTTTGGTGATTGGAAGGGTGTGTCGGTGTGACATCGTGGTGTCAGAGACAATTGGATTGTGACGCACATTACTCATCGGGGATGGCAATTGGATAGTTGGGATCGGTGTTGTGCATCGGGATGACCATATTTTTAACGTCATGATGACGAGTTTCAAATTTAGGGTATCAATACCCTTTTTAACTCTGAGTTTCCTTTTTATGTTTACCATCGTTCGTTCTATATAAATACCCCTTTTAAATCGGTTTCAGTTGGCCATTTTCACCTCTATAGAGGGATTTTTTAGAGGCCTTCAATTTGTCTCCGAGACAGATGATTCCCCAATTCTGGAGAATAGTCAGCATCATCCTAGTGAATAGGAACCCTTTTCACTAATTACAATTTGGTGGATGCTTACTCTGTTAAACCAGAGAGCGACCACACGTAAAACCTCTAACCCAAAGCGAGGGGTAGCAAAATATTGGTTCTTGGCACTTTCGTCAATGACAAGAAGTGGAAGACGTGTTAAATTTTCGAGAGAATATCTTGGTTAAGAGACGAAAATCAATGGTTGATCGAGGGTTGGAAAACTGATAGCAAGTATCATGCTTACCTTTGGTTGGTCGGGAGAAGATCTTGGTTGAGATACTCGCTCCGCAGAGAACCATGATTGATAATTTCGCTTATCGGTTTAGACTATATATATTCTTATAAATGAATATATTTTGCTTCTTTAATTGATACTAATGTAATTGTGTTTTTTCCTTCGATTTTGTAGGTTTGCTTTGGTATCGATGGGACGGGCTTTTCTCAAGACTTTCAAGAACATGTTTCATGGAGCTCAGGAAATCTTGGAAACACGTTTGACCCAAATAATCGCAAGCAGATGTGAGATTGTTTTCGGGTTTGTAAATTAAATGAAATATCAGTTTTTTACAATACGTATTTAACTTATCAAATGATATATGTATCGTAAAAAGACAAATACAGATTTTGTATTCTTTTAAGGGTAAAATATTTTCGCAAATTTGTTGTTTATTAATTAATAATCATTATATTTAATAAGAGAAATCATGAAAATTACAATGTATAATTTGATATATATTACATAGAAAAAACTAATTTAATCATGTAAAAAGACACTAAATTATAATTTTATATTCAATCATCGATTATAAATGTAAAATTGTGATGTTTGTATTGGATCGATGAACTGAAGTTGAGTAAAACCCGCAAAAATATTCTTCTGCATCAAAACTTCATGACAAGAAGTTTTATACTCATGGTTAATCATTATGCATATAACAGCTGAAATCCTGAGCTGTTTCGGTTTGATATAAGATAAAATGTACGATGATTCAAATTACAGAATGTGGTTTTATATTTTAAAATGTAATTCATAAATAATGTATTTATGAAGGTTAATATAGTTACGATTTAACTTACAAGAAGTACGAGAAAAGTCAAATCACATATGATATACAACATGTTTAAAAGGGTTGCGTTGAACAACCATTGCACGGACGAGTTTTCATGCAACCTTGATCGCATTAACCAGTAGTCCACATCCTTCTAGACATGCTGTAAATAACATGTGATTTGACCCTTCTCACATTTCTTATAATTTATTGTTCTCCTTGCTTGATCTTCATTATATTATACATATATATATATATATATATATATATATATATATATATATACACACATATAATGGTAGGTTTAAATAAGAAGGATATATATCGTCAAAAGGTAATAAAAGAAGGTTCATATATGAATTATTGAAAAAATTCGGAAAAATCACTATTTGAAAATGCATATTGAACCAACATTACAAATTCTTTATATGAATTCATATATGCATCTTCAAATGATTTTTTTCAATGAGTCACACATGAATCTTTCCTTAACTTCTCCCTTACCGTCTCAAGATATTTAACTTTATTTTTTTAACCGGCACACAAACACATAAATAAATAGAATGGTAATCATCTGAGAATCACAAAAAAATTGAGAACCTTGAGAACCAATTTTAACTATCTAATCACTCTAATCTATCTTAATTAATGTTCTGTCTATAATTAAGAAAGGATATTATGGTAAATTTTTCTTTTCTTGATTATTTTTCACTTCCCTTTTTCATGGCTATCAAAATTTAGAATAAATTATAATTTTGTTTTACTTCAATGCTATACGATGTGATTTGTATATATGTAATAATAAGATATTTTAATTTTCATTAATTGATAATAATTCTTTATATTTGAATAATTTGTTGTATTATTAATTTAATTTCACTCATTTACTTTCTCACAAATACATTATTTACTTTGTAACATATATAGAAAAATATACATTTTTATAAAAATATATTTAACTATTTTAAATAATAAAAACATCATATACGATGTAACACCCCAAGATCACATTTGCATATAACATATATTTCCATATATCAAGAAATATAATTTACACAACTGGTCCCACTGGTTATAAAAGTTACATTACAAAGTAGCTATCAAATTTTTTCCACAAATTCTCTATACAACACTTGAATATATAACAAGTATCCAGATACAAAAGAAGATTATGCTAGCCCAAAATCTCATGCAAGCATATTATTATCACTTGACAATTTTCTCTTCCCCTTAACCTCTAGTTGTGTCCGACCTGTAATACATATTTTTGAAACACAAATGAAGGTTAGACTTTGAGGTCTAGTGAGAAATCCCTTTGATACAATTACAAGGTGAAAAATCACCAAATCATATTTATGAACTCATATTTATAATATTAACAAATATACATCATTTTGATATAAACCTCATTTATCACTTCAAAATAATCAAATTACTTCATAAAGACATTCTAAGTAAACTTATCGCATCACATGGTGAGACAACTCCATCTCCTTGCAACATATTGGTGCAAGAACATTAACTCATCGTATTACAGTGGTGCGATAAACCCAACTTGTCACATCATATGGGGTGCGATAAGTCGATTTGTCACATCACAAGGATGCGACAAAACTCACTCCTTGATCACACTGGTGCGATAACCACACTTCATCGCATCAATAGGATGTGACAACTTTAAGTCATTGCATCACACACTTGGTTTAAAAATGCGTGCATAATACGCTCTGATGCGCTAGAGGTAACGCATCAGATGGGCTGATGCGAAATGATTCCATGATGCGCTTGCATCACCTACGCATCATACGATGCGTGCATCACCTATGCATCAGCGCATCCTGTATGTTTCATGCTTGGGCTCCCTTTTTCAGTTTTTAGTTGCGCTTTTTAGTTGATTAAAATAGAATGTGAGACTGAATGTGACCTAATAGAAGAAGCCTACAGCCACTAATAGAAGAAGCAGAAGTCGCACTCGCATATCAATCAGAATAAAAAAGAAATAGAACGTGAGTTGTTGTCGTACAACCAAAAGAAGAAGAAGCAGAAGTCGATACTCGACAACCAACAAATAGAAGAAGCTCGACAGCCAGCAAATAGAAGAAGAAGAAGCTCGACAGCCAGCAAATTGAAGAAGCAGAAGTCGATAGCCAGCAAATAGAAGAAACAGAAGTCGACAACCAGTTTACAGAATGTCCGAATCGGAACCTATTGCGAGTTCAAATTCAAACACTACATCAGGTGACCTTGGTAGACAATATGGAACTCAAGATCCTAAATCTAGGAACAATTTCACTTGCCACTTTTGTGGTAAAGTAGTCAAGGGTGGTGTATATCGTTTAAAATGGCATTTTATTGGAGGTCTTTTGGATGTTACTGATTGTCCAAATTGTCCACAACATGGAAATGAAGAAATAAAGTCTTATATGTAGAAAAAAGAAGTAGCGAAGGTGGAGAATTTAATGAACTCAAGTTTGCATTCTGATGATTATGATCTTGGTGAAGAGGACGATGACTGTGTTGAAATAGAAGGTGGTAGTAGTTAAGTGCCCCCACGAAAAAGACCGAGACAAAATGATCCCCTAGATAGGTTCTTCACTCTTAATCCTGAAGACGTGATCAAAGGTAAAAAAAGATGAAAAAGGAGGGATACAACAAACCATAAATGCGGTGGTTCAAAAGGAGTTAAGGGATAAACTTGTACGCAAATAGCAAGGTGGTTTTATGATGTCGGCATTCCTTTTAATGCCGCTACTTATGATAGCTTTAGCATAATGATTGAAGCAATTGGCCAATTTGGCCCTGGAATGAAACCACCAAGCATGTATGAGCTAAGAGTCCTTTACTCAACCAAGAAGTAAAAACCGTTGAAGATGAAGTAAAGGAACATAAAAAAGAATGGGCCCAAAAAGGTTGCTCTATTTTATCGAATGGATAGCGTGATTCGATTTTCCAAAAAAACATAATTAACTTTATGGTGAACTCTCCAAGGGGTTCTGTATTTGTGAAGTCTATGGATGTTTCCGATGTCTCTAAAGACGCAAATTTGTTGTTAGGGATTCTTGATAAAATGGTGGATGATGTTGGAGAAGAAAATGTAGTCCAAGTGATCACCGATAATGCATCTGCTTACGTTAAAGCGGGTAAGAGTTACTATTTTAGTCTATTCCTAATTATATATTAATAATATTATATATGTAATAATAATACTGTGTATGTTTAATAATACTATGTATTTTGTCACATAA